CGTCGTGTGTATTCTCAGTCACTGACGTGTGTGTGTGTCTCTGTCTGTCTTTGTGTCTCTGTGTCTGTGTTTGTGTCTCTGTGTCTGTGACCGACTGACTTAAGTGCGAATGGTTGTAACTTTAGCCTGAAATGGAACATGACACCAATCATGAACCATAGTAGCAGAACTCCCCTCCTTATCCTTTTAGGACTTTGCTAGTTTGACATAAATTTAGTAAATTTTACTGACATGTTGCACGAAACCAGACGAATAATAATGCAGCAGTTCTTGTGTTTATTGAAAGCTTTGTGGTATGTATGGGTTATAATATAAAGTAACTTGATTTTTATAATTCCATGAACGGGTGAAACTCAAAAATAGGTTATGATGCAAAAGTCCATTTATTTAAAGACCATCTAAAGCAGGGGTGTCAAACTCATTTTAGCTCAGGGGCCGCATTGAGGGAAATCTAGTCCCAAGTGGGCCGGACCAGTAAATTAAAAACAACTTCAGATTGTTTTCTTTGTTTTAATACAATCCATATAAAACAAAGCTGGGGCCTGAGGACAGTGTATCCAAAATAGTACAAGTACAACACCTGAAGTGTACTTGAAAAATTGAAAAACATTAAAAATCAATAAATGAAAAAAAAAAACATTCCTTAGTGATTCAAAGAGCTTAAAGATCACATGGCTAGATCAGTTTCATGCAGCACTTAAAATATATTTGACTCGCTTTACTTTTACATCTTTTTGCTTTCGACAGCACATCAATATCAGAAGTCACATCCTGAGTGGCGGCCAACTTCAGGATGTGATTCAAGTTCTTGTGTGAGCCTTGAGCGCAGCTTTGTTTTATTTATACTCATTACAGAGAAAACTTACGCACAAAGATACGTTTATTTTCACTCTACATGGTAAAGTTTGAAAATAAACCATCTCGCGGGCCGGATCCGGCCCGCAAGCGGATTAAATCCGGCCTGCGGGCCTCATATTTGACACCCCTGATCTAAAGGCTCTGGAACCCTTAGCAGGTATTTGGGATTCATTAGCTGATTAGCGTGTGACACTCAGAGTCTAGAATATTAAATCCTTTTTACAATATTCTAATTGTCTGAGATTTTGAATTTGGGGTTTTCATAAGATCTATGCCGCAATCATCACTATTAAAGACTGAAATATCTGACTTTGAATTAGTCTATCTTATGTATTCGTTTCACCTTTTAAGTTGAATTACTGGGGGAATTTTTTTTTTTACCATATTCTAATTTTTCATTGTTAACCTGTATGTTCAAACTCTCATAGCAAGCTGTAGTTTCCTTGTAGAAATGAGAAGCTGGCTGTCTGTTTGCCTGAGGAATTAAGTTTTACATTGTTGTGGAGTGATCTTGTCTCATGTCAGGAAATTTTATCAGCACTTATCACATTAGTGGACCGGTGTTGTGTACGTTTTCTCCCAGATTATTAAAAACATCATCTGTGTGGATATCATATAGATGGTCAGTTTGGGGGATTATGTGTCTTGTAAGTGCAAATTACACTTTATAAGTATTTGGTACTAGAGGTCGACCGATATTGGTTTTTCTATTGCTGACGCCGATGTATGAAAAATGGTAAATATTGGCCCAATATATCAGTCTACCCCTAATATGTACTATCACGGATTATGTTTCTAGAGTCTAAACCTTTATAAATCTGCTGAAACAAGCAAATGAACAACAAACCCTTTTAAAACATAGTTTCTGGACATTTCTTTTTTTAATTTAATGCAGCTAATAGACCTGATGGTTTTTTTTGTGTTGTTGTTTTTCACAAATCAGTCGTTTTCTCCCTAAAAACTCATTCTCCAGCAGGAATGTGTAGCTCAACGCTGCCGTTGTTTTGTTTGCGTGTCTCAAATGTTCAAAGTCACTGTTGTGTCTGAACCTGCCCCCCTCCAACAACAACTAAGAGATGCACATAACTTGAATAATTTGAGGGCTTGAGATTCTCGTTGGAGTCAAGGGGAGCCATAGCCTGGCTCCCCATAGACTGAAATAAATATATTATTTAGTCTGGCAACACTCCATTGACGGCTCTTGGTCGTGGGGTGGATTTCACTGTTGTCTTTTAAACCATCTTTTCATGCTACTGGACAATGAACAACGTGACATACTCAACGCAACGGATGTCAGTAAATGAGGCACACCACTGTTAAAGAGGGTGAAAATACATCCTTTTTTCTAAATAAAGGACCGAAATAAATCTATCTGCTCCTGGTTCTAATAAAACCCAAATCCAAATAGTCCAAAATTGATGTAAAAGCCGTTTAAAATGAGCCGCTGCTGTCTTATTCCACTCCGTTGCGTCTTCCTGCGCACCAGACGAATAGAGGACCCTGATTAGCCCACAAAGTACATAGAGCGCTGTGATTGGTCCACAAAGCAGATAGAGCACTGTAATTGGCTCACCACTGTGGACCAATCAGCGTACTATGGGATTGAAACCCCTATAGAGCTCCGGACGTCACGTGACCCTCGGAGAGTAGACGCCATGTTGGCAGTAGGGCTGCAACAAACGATTATTTGGATAATCGATTAATCGGATGGGGTCTCGACACGATTAATCGATTAATCGAATTACATGGGGAAATTTTTAAAAACTGCTAGGGAAACGTTATTTCTCTCCTTCCTTCACTTTATTTAACACAACATTATTAGAAAACAGTTCAATAGCAGAAAAACAACATGCCATCACCTAAATTGTCTTATAAGGTGTATAGACAGAGACCCTAAGCTACATCTATCTGTGACCTAAAATGCTTGGTCCAAGTTAAACAGCTTAAGGGCAATTCTCATCTGTTTTGTTTGATCTCATCTGTTGACATTTATTTTAAATGTAATTAAACATAGGCCGTGAATTAATCAAAATTGATCACTATTTCCAAAAATGACTGAAAAAAATACCAAATAAAACAAAAGTAAATGAATGCCATCCTCCTTGCGATGATGCCCTGGGCAACTGCCATAAAGTCACATCAAGAAATGCTGCTGATCATTCCAATGATCCCAAATAGACTCACATTAGGCCACATGAAAGCAACTGAACCCAAAAATATATTAACCAGTATATAACTGCACTCTCACACAACACGCCTGCAGCAACAGTTAGGACTCCTCCCTCCCTTTTAAAAGCGTTTTTGCTTCTGAGGACATTGTGGTTGTAAAACCACATGCTAGTAGTCTGGCCCCGGTGTGATCAACCAGTTTCTGCGGGAATGTGACGGCGGAACCAGGGCCAGATTAACACTTTGTTGTACCCTGGGCAACAATATTCAAGGGCTCCATCATCACGACCCAAGGATCACCATAATGTGGTCACATACAGAATATTTTACTGTAATATGCAGTAAATATACTCAATACTTGAATGCCTGACAACACGTAACCCGCCCAGAGTAACCTTTGACCCACCTCGTGTGGACTGACCAATGAGGAAAGGGTCTTAACTTGAGGCCCTCTCTTCATTGGTCATTCTGCATGAGACTGACTCTCAACTGACGTTCAGTCGTAGGCAGCGAAGCGTCTCTGTGCAGAGCAAAAGCCCGGGTGGACAGTTTGTTTAATGTAGGGTGACCATATTTCCATTTCCAAACAAGAGGACAGGGATCTGTGCCTATGATGTCACACTATGGCAACGCCACACAAACCATGTTGGGACCCATTTTTTGTAAGAACTAAATTAATATCAGATTCTGCCAATTAAAGGGCTCTAAAACAATTCATATGTAAATATTTTGCATATTTAATGCAAAATCTCATTTTTCTGCTTTAGTGCTGCAACAAGGTTTTATTAATAATAAATTATAATACCTTTTGTTTTACTACAGCATCGGTAAGCTTCCTGTGCACAGATTATTAAGGATGCTTGTTTCAGCTGTGAGATTAGACGATAGGATCAATGAAAAAATAAGTTGTCACACACTCCATGGAAACTTTCAGAGAATCCACAAATAGTGGCTTTCAAATGGTTTTGTTACTTTTTGCAAGTTTATAAAAGAAGCAGATGAGACAGCATGTCTGATAATTTAGTTTTTCATCTGATAATATTAGAACATGTCAGTAATGTCTGAGGGGCTTTTATAAACACCATATAACTAACACTCCTGGAGAGGGCATGAATTACACAGAGGCTTCTGGGGAGCCCAGTTATTGGGGGGGGGGGGGGGGGGGGGCATTTTGCCTTGGCCCCCAAAATGTCTTGAAACGGCCCTGGGTGTGTGACTGAGTTTTGAAGGTGATCTGAATTGTATCAGATGTATAAATATTACATGTGTATAACTTGTTGTTTTTTACTGGTAAAAACGTGTAGTGGAGATAAATCTACCTACATTTTACTTTTCAACACTTTGTTTTGTTTTCTTGTTTTTATTGAACTATTTTCCTGTCCTCTCTGTCACTCATCTTCCTGCATCTCCTCTTAATTCTCCAGAAAAACTGCTGCCTGGATTCTTACCTTTTCACCTCATCAGTTACTTTTGAGCAGATCAAAGGGATCTCCTGACCATAAAGCGGAGAGCGCGTTTTCGATGCTGCGTGAGGTGAAATCACCGCAGCACAGGTGATGAGCTCCGCAGTAGCGCGCTTCAGGCACAAATAAGACAGAAAATAGAGAACATGTGCGGACATGAACGATCGTGTGCTAATTATAGTTTTTTGGTTGCGCCACTTTGAGAATGGACCGTGCGCTGGAAGCAGCTGCCTGGATCGCTGTGCAACAATGCGGAACCGGTTCGCAGCAGCGCAAGTCTGCCGGCACTCCCTCGCGCTGATCTGCCGCTACCGGCTCTCCCTCACGCTGATCTGCGGCTCTCCCTCGCGCTGATCTGCCGGCTCTCCCTCACGCTGATCTGCGGCTCTCCCTCGCGCTGATCTGCCGGCTTTCCCTCGCGCTGATCTGCCGGCTCTCCCTCGCGCTGATCTGACTTGCTCTGGTCTGTGCGCAACGGCGGGCGGGAAGGGGGGCGAGGGGGGCGCTTTTGGAAGAGTTGTGCGACACAACGAATCGATGACGCAATTCGTTGCCAACGCTTTTAGTAGTCGATTTTCATCGAATTTATCGATTCGTTGTTGCAGCCCTAGTTGGCAGGCAACAAAGGTAAACAAAATGATCGGTATCGGCTTGGATTTTACTTCGTCGGAGTTTACTTCACACTTTAAAACCCAAGAAATCGTTTTATATAGTCAGAAATTAAATAGACTAAACATCTCCGACCCTTACCATGCCCCTGGGATACTTTTTAAAATGCCAGAAGCTGTCGGAGCGGACCTCTTACTGGATTTGAGAAGCCCTGACATTTATAATTTATAAAACTTTTTAAACAAAAACACTAATAACATAGATTTACACGTAAGTAGTTTAAATAGAGTGCTGTGCTGTTTGAATGTATAAACTGAATGCCAAGAGAAATCACTAGTTTGATTTTTTTTCGTGAATAAAATAAATTATTCAGGCAGGAGCATCGCAGGATCTGTCTGAGATCTGTTTCGGTGAGACAGATAATAGCAATCCAAAGTGCTTTTTATGTGTGATCTGACAATTGATCAACCATTGCTTAAAAATGAAATACAGCTTAGCCGGTTAATTGCTGTGATCATAAAACACGTAAACGGCAGCACGCAGAACTCACGAGGCAACGTTTTACATGACGTTTACTTGTTCCTATGAGTAATAAGACAGAAAAAGACATGCCAAAATAATTTTAGGAAGCCCACTAAGAATCGTAATAAAAGCATTTAAAATAAATACCATACACAGTTGAGGAAACATTGGTTTAAGTACCTGATATGAAGTGGTCGCTGCATAAGCGAAAACCTTTACTCTCGGGATCCCAGTCTCATTTTAGCTGTTGCATGTTGGGAGAAGTGACGTCAACTCCCGGAGCTCTCTAGAGAGCTGTGATTGGCCAGCCAGAATGCCGCTAGGGGCTGCTGAGGTTCCAATGGTGCGTTTGTAGACCAAACTTTGCAAAGCAAGAATTTGGTCTAGTTCACTAGGCTAGTGGAGCCAGGCAAAGTTTAAAAATGTTTTATGGATAAAACAAAAGACCGGTGTTGACAAAGGAAATCATTAAATTTATGTGTGGTTCTTTTAGTCAGTTTGTTTTTATTTACATCCATTATTGTTCCCTCTGACCTTTTCTGTCTGGGGTTTACACACAGCTTCTGTCTTTTTATAGCCAGTGTTAGGCTACATACAATGTCATAGACAGGTTAGAATTAAATTATTCCGTCTAGAGCACGCACGCACCCACTCTCTCACACACACACACACACACACACACACACACACACACACACACACACACACACACACACACACACACACACACACACACACACACACACACACACACACACAGTACTGAATTTTCTGTGCACAGAAACACAAATATTCACTTTGATCCATAAGTAAATATAGCAACTGGAGCTCTGGTATCCCACCAGGCCCCATTACCAGACACGTGTGCAGCCACGCACGCTGCCTGTGAGTAAATATAGCTCTTAAATTGGTGCCTGGGGATTCGAAACCTGCAATTTCGACACAAACTCCATCTTAACTTTTTTGGGGGTATTTTCTTGGGTTGTCAAGGTTACAAATATGTGACTAAGAGCTGAAACTTTACTGTTAAAGACAATGATTTGCAAGAGTCATCTCCAGGGTATCCGCGGGTCCTTAAAAAGTCTTAAAAAGTCTTAAATTTGCTTTTCCAAATTTAAGGCCTTAAAAATCCTTAAAAATGACAAATAATACTTAAATACAGTTTCCAAAGGTCTTAAATTACCAAAGACCCAATAAACAAGATTCTTTTATTTTTGTCAAATTTTTGTTAATTACTAGTTAGTGTTTAGCATTTTTTGTGTGTATGATGTTGGCGTAAGCGGAACCGTACACGTTCAGTTGGTTGTGAAAGGGGGCTATTTTAGATGAGCACATTAGCTGGTTAAGCTAGTGGGAGCTTGCGCCATGGGGAAGTGCAAGTTTAATGGTAACTGGATGGCTAATCCCACGTTCGCGACGTGGTTAACACCGGTTCCTGGCAATAGCTGGAAATTATGGTTTAAATTTAATTTTAAAAATAGCTTAAATTTGGTCAAAGTGGCCTTAAAAAAGGTCTTAAAAAGTCTTAAATCTGGCTCCCTTAAACCTGCAGATACCCTGCATCTCATAAACAAGCTGCTGTGCTTTTGGCTTCTTATTAACTTAATAAACTAAAAAGTGTGATTGGAACATCCTTACATATTTTTGATAGATAAACCTTTGTTTTATGTATTATATCATTTGTGCTTTTACCTCATTTTAATTGTCCTCTTTTGTTCTTTAATTTCTGTAAAACAAATGAGTCAATCCTATTGGTCTTGAACATATTTCTTTAATTTAAATTATATATTTCTTAATACTTAAGGAAAGCAAAGTAACATTCTTGAAAAAGAAACTTAAAATAACAAAGTGCTTAAATGATTAACTTGTATTTTAAACCAAATATTAAATGTGACATGAAACAGAATAATGACCTGGAACTGGATTATTAGTAGTGCATGTTTATTGAGGCATTAATATGAAATAAATTACAAAAGTGTTATTTTATTTATTTATTTATTTATTTATTATTTGGAGTACCAACAAGAGTAGTATTTGAGGTAGATTTATTGATTAGCTCTTTTTGGTACTTTTTCATTACAATTAATTGTTTATTTTATTATGTTTGTCTTTCTCAAAAAGTAACGTAAAGAAACTTAAAGGACTATATTTACAAATTTGATAAAATTTTCTTTGTAAACACCCAAGAATGGCTAAGAGGATAGCATTGGCCTTCTATTGGGCCTTCCCCACTAGCATCGGCTCCAAACTGCCCAGATAGCCCAAGCTGGCTTCAACCAGGCCCGGTTGATTCCACACTTGCTTAGAAAGGCACTCGGAGACGTTCTCTCCTCCAAGGTAATCAGCATTATAATGAATTGCGCATGCATGCGTAAGCCCACTGGGCTGATTCTACCCTCCAATCGGAGGCTTCAGCTAATGGGCGGCGTGAATTTAAGCCAGCATATCAGTCAGCAGTGGGTGTGTTGGCCCTGGTCCGCTTCGGGAAGAGAGCTGAAAAACAGTCTGGTTGCACCCTGAAAAAAGGCAGGCTATGGTAATGTGGACACTATACTATCCAGACCATGCAGAGCCGATGCTAGTGGGAAAGGTATGAGCCCTGACCACGGCGCACCACGGCAAAATACACATAGCGGAAACCCTGAAAGGCGCTCTTCAAACCTGAGACAATTGGAGCAGTTTGCTCATGAGGAGTGGGCCAAAATACTTGCTGATAGGTGCAGAATTGTCATTGACCGTTACGGGAACTGTTTGATTGCAGTGATTTCGTCAACAGGCTGTGCAAAAAAATATTAAGTTAAGGGTATCATCATTTTTGTCCAGGCCTGTTCCCTGAGTTAATTTTTTTAAAAGTAATTCAGTTGAAGCATGTTTGAAAAGCAATGTCTGTCTTTCATAGAAATTTCATAGAAGAAGAAAGTTATTTCTGTGGTCATTGTTCAATTTTCTTTCCTTAACCGGATGGTACCAACAATTTTGTCCACGTCTGTAAGTATTTACATCAGACAGGATGTAAACACAACACAAGTTCCTTTAGGCGGTTTGTTTTTTTACAGTACATCTGAACAGATGAGAGATTCTGGTTGTATATTTGTGCTTTTGGCAGACACACCATGTTAACATGAAAGTTGGATGATTTAAGGCTTAGTCGTATTTAGAAATTTTCTGACATGATTTTTCTTTTAACAGTATGTTCTTTATATTTATGCCAACAACACATTGACCTAAATATTCATAATACCACAGCACAGGGTTGTTGTAGCAGCCAGAACCAGAACTGGGTCTCGCATTAGGAAGGTGTTTATGAATTTTAGCTTCATAAAAGAGTCCGTTTGGACCAGATTGGTGTGTGTGAGATGCTTACTGGAATTTGAGAGGATTCGGATGAGACACATTCTTGCATAAGAGCCTTTTAGCATTTTTGGATACACATTCAGAAATATGCTCATGACTGTGTAGATGGTTTGTAAATCCAGATTAGCAGATAATTTGCTGGAAGGGAGGGATGCAAAATCCACCAAGGCCTCCTTAAAACCACAGAGATGGAAATCTGAGATTGTGGCTCAGAGCCTAGCCCATGTACACTCACTCAGACTGGATATAAAAATGTTTAGCACAATCATTTCTAACATAAAAGCACGTATACTCAAAATAATCTGTACAGAACAGTTGCTCATTACACATTCTTTCTTTTTTTTTCATGTGCTGACCATAATGTGGTGATCTTCAGGTAAGTTGCATCTTTAATTTTCAGATTTTATCAGCTGATCTCAGACCAGCCCATGCTGAAGTGCCTTAAATGCTGCAGATGACCTCTTTGAAACAAAGGTTTTCCCTTCAGTGGCAACTTTAATCCAACAGTTTGTTTCACATTTAGACCAGGGATCTGCAACCTGTGGCTCTTTTATAACTGACTCTAAATCATTAAAACAAAAACATTTTAAATAAAGATATAATTGGAAATGCAGGTTTAAGAAGCTTTTCAGCTGTCTAATTTATGTGCAGTAATGTTTTAGGTAAAATTGAAGAGTTAATTCTGAAGCATCTATCCATCAGTCCATTTTCGGCCGCTTATCCAAGGTGGGGTCTTAGGGGCAGCATCCTAAGCAAGAAGGCCCAGACTTCCCTCTCCCCTGCCACTTGGGCCAGCTCCTCCGGGGGAAATTCTAAGGTGTTCCCTGGCCAGCCGAGTGACATAGTCCCAGCGTGTTTTGGATCTTCCTTTAGGTCTCCTGTTGGTTGGGTGTGCCTGGAAAACCTCACCTAGGAGGCGTCCAGGAGGCATCCTAAATGGACGTTGGAGCCACCTCAACTGGCTCCTCTTGATGTGGAGGAGCAGCGTATCTATTCCGAGCCCCTCAAAATCAAAGCAGCATTGCCTTAAATAGCTTTGGTTTGCTGAAAAAAAAACTTTTTTTCTTCATTTAACAGCAATAAATGCTGGTATTTTATCCATCTTAATTAAAAGTTGACCAAATATTATACATATATGTATTCATTGTCATTTAAGGGACAATCTAGACTTTTATTTTATGTCAGGTCGTTTTTTAAACCGTGATGCAACAAAGTATGGTTCTGCTGCCAAGAACATTCTAGTCCAAGTACATTAGAAGGCTCTAGCATCCTTGGGTATTGAGAAACAGCCTGTATTTTCATTAGATTTTATTGCTAATTATTATCATATAAACTTAAATTTGGTGTAATTAGATGCTTTTCTTTCCCATAATATAATTGAGTTATTGAGTTGTATTTCACTGTGGTAGCTCCAGACGGCTTTAACGTATTAAACAGTAAAGTGAAATGCCCGACCTTCTAGAATTATTTTTAAAAAGTCTTGGTATCAATTATCTTGAGGTCGGTTAGTAAGAGGAAAGAAAATTCCACTTCTTTATTTTTTTTTACAGCTTTGGTGTTGTGAGAGCTGTGATAAGGTTGACCTCAAAGTGTTGGCTGTGAGCTAAAGTTTTATGGAAAAGGGTCAAATTCAAACCGACATGAGCAAAGCCAGACCCTGTTAAAGTAGTGGTTTAACTCGTTGGTGTTTTGCTATCTGGTCAGGTGGGTTTATTTAACAGTTTGTGGATGTGCTCTTAGTTAGAGTGCAGCCTTTTCACTCGGTGTTGAAATCAGTCACACTTGGACACACATATGCAACATGCAGCCTGTAATTGCTGACATCAGGTTAGGGCAGATGAGTGGTCGCCTGCAGCCATATTTGTGAGGGATTAATGTGTTAATGCAGCTTCATCATGATTACAACACTGCTACTTCCATCTTTTTGTTGGCCAGTTGCTATCAGTGCCGTGTGCACAAACCACAACTCACTGTGTTCTTGATTGCATGGTTCTCATTAGAGTGAATAATGGAGGATAAATGCTTATAATGCGTAACTGTTCTAACTACCTTTGTTTACCATTTCATATTAATGCTAGACCAACTGGACTCCCTGTGTTAGTTTTTGGTGGTTTCACCTCTGGTCTGAAAGACTTGTACAGTAGTGTTTCAGCTTTAAGGCTGTAGGGGAGGTGTTGGTGAAATGAAAGTCATCCGCCCATCCCATGAGTCTTTGGGTTGTTTACCTCCCTGAGTAACATTTGTGTTCATGCTTCTGGGGTGAAAAGATGTAAAACTATCTGGGGAGGAGAGTCAAAGCTGTATTGTAGGGGTTAAGGAAATGATACCTTTTATTCAGGTACTTAGGATCACCATGACTTGTACAAATGGGAGTTGGGACTTGACTTTTTAATGCAAAGTTTCATTAACTTGTTTCTCTGAGGAGTAGAAGACAAAACATTTATTATTTACCAGTCCCATTGTTTAACCAGTAGTCTCCTCTTGTTTTTTCCATGAATCTGCAGGTCTCTTGTATGAATAAACGAATGCTTTGTGAGTCGATTTCTTTGAATAAAAATATCTTGCTCCCGTTTTCGGGGTAAAGGTTTGTCAGAGGATGTAAAATGATATTTACAAGTCTTACTCGTTAATATTCATGATATGCAAACATCTCACTTCCTCCTTGGAGCAGCACGACTCTTCAGCTACATAGCACCTATAGTTTGCTCTTCTTTCTTGGGTGAAAAATACTACATTTGTATGTTATCGCCATAAACGACACAAACCCATGTGTTCTGCCATGTTGTGGAGTTGATGGTTAATCTCTACTGGCCAAGATGCGCTCCACACTCACCTGCCTGCTTAATCAACACAGCCATCCCTTGGGCTAATTTGATATTTTACATAAAAAACATAAATACCTATTTATGGTGTTTTTGTTCCGCTGCACGTCGTGGGACTTTGATACACATCTCTTCTCATTGGCTATTCAGATTCGGGACTAAACCACTTCAACCTTAATCCTACCCCCCACTAGGGATGGGTACCTTTGACATTTGAATCGATCCGGTACTAATTCCCGGTACCTAGGAATCGATACCGGTACTTAAAGGTACCAATTTTAGATACTTTTGAGTGTTTAATATTTTTAATTCTCTTTTATAATTAAATATATATTTTTCTCAATATATAACCATATTTGATAAATATCACGATAAATAACATACAATTGTTTGTATTTTAACATCGTCCTTGTAGTTTTATAAGCTGATAATTAAACTGAAGCAAACATCTTTACTGTGAACTAAATTTACTGTGTATCTTCATTCCTTTTACTGTCCTTTTTCATTTGATTTTTCCTACTGGGAAGTTAGAATTTCCGAGGAGAAAGCGAACGCACCATTAGATGATAACAACGGTGGCATAGGAAGCTAACATATCAAGCTAACGTTATCTTAAACAGTTTATTTAACTGCTGGAGCAGATTAAAACGATGCCTCACACTTCGATCGTTGTCACTGGTTTCATCTTCACCCAATCACCCGTCGCATTTAGTAAAGTGAAGCCAAACTTTCGAGCGCGTTCATGTTCTTCTAGTCGGAATTTCGGAGTTCCGAGGAGAAAGCGAACGCACCATTAGTGAAACGGAAGCTAACAAATAAAGCTAACATCGTCTTAAACATTTTATTTACCTACCGGAGCAGATTAAGATGAGGATGTCTCACTTAGATCGTTGTCGCTGGTTTCATCATCACCCAGTTACCCATCACATTTAGTGAAGTGGACCCAAGCTTTAGCGTGCGTTCTTTCTACCATGCTGCTCTGTTTACAACTGGCTCGCAGCGACCGTCGACATTATGCTCTTGCGCATGCGCAGCTGTCTAGGCAAGTTCTCGTTGTGAAGGACGGGTACCGAAACAAGGCACCGTTTCAAATTAAGTGAATCGGTGCTCGGTCGGTACTGTGGAATTCGGTCGGCACCTTAAAAAGTACCGAATTCGGTACCCATCCCTACCCCCCACCCCCACCCCACCCACAGGTCAGTTGCTGGATAACCCTATATTTTGCTTATCCAAATGAGCTACAACTGCAAACAAGGTTTAAATGTAGTTTTAAAACTAAGACTTTTATTTTGTTAAAATAGCATAGATATCAGCCCATTTTCAAACTATGTGATGTTGGAGGTAGATTTGGAAGGCCAGGGATGACGGTGGTTTTTAATGCGCCAAGCCAGTCTCTGCATCTGATAAACAGTTGAATTGTGGGGATTAAAGTGATTATATTTAATCGGTGTACAATAGTGCAGCCTCAAGCTGGGCCCCCGTGTCTCTCTGCAGACTGCTGACTGCCCCGGTTCTAGTCTGCATTCACCATCATTTACAAAACCGCTGCATGTGTGTAGCAATTTTTTTATATTTCCATCATTTCAAAAATCTCTTAGAACTAATTTGTTGACAAATTTGATGCAAATATATTTATTCATGTATGTTCTGTTTGCTTGTTAAGATCATTTGTGGATGACATCAGGTTTAAGAGTTTTACACACAGGCTGAGATTCTGACGGGGCGGTGAGACGAGTGGGGTCGTCGCCTGGACTGGACGGATATGCAGTGATGTAGGGGGAGGAATGAGGGAGAGTCGCTGAGCAGCTTCCTGCGGAGAAAAAGTTGGCTGGTCGCCCCTGAGCGCGTGAACATGTTTGTGTGAGGGCAGAAAAAAAATGAGGGTTATTAAGAGAGGAGGGAATATGTGGGGATCTGTGAGTCTGTGTGTGGAGTTTGATCGAATGGTGAGGAGGAGGAAGAGAGCTGGAGAGATGACTTCCGGGAAGTAGGGAAAACAGAAGCAACAAGCTGTTTAGTGTTGGATCAATCTGGGAGGAAGAGCCGACTGAGCCATGTTCTGTCTGAAAGGTAGGTGTGTGTGAGCGTTTGTGAGACAAAGAAAAGTTTAACTCTGCATCTTTCACATGTCCAGAAGGAAAGTTACAACATGAATGAGAGAAATGTTCTTTATTTTGTTCTCTTCTTCCTTTGTTCCTCCTTTCTGAGCCGTGATTCATTTAGGTAGTCCGACTTGGATCCCACCTCTACTCTGACTGCTGCTTGATCGCTCTTCTCAGCCTTTCTCACTCTGACTTAAAGGAATACAGTCAGTTTAGCGTTATTTTTGCAGTCGGATATGTTTGCATGCTTTTTCCACAGTAACAGCTGGCGAAGCAGCAGTTGCTGAGCTACAGAGTGAGACCATGTGTCGGTTATTACTTAACTGGCCCGTTAAAACGAGATGAGGACAATGTGGTTCATTTACTGGAAACTTCATGTAATTTAGTCTCCGCAGATATTTTATAGACATCTATATTACTCACTGTAGGGCTTTTTTAATCTTATTTTTAACTCGTAAGTCCTAAAGACTATGTGCACTATTGACTTTGCAGACAACATGCACTGATAAAGCTGGTTCATTGTGTTTTGGTTCATTAGGTTGGAGACTCCTTGTAGGTTTGATTGTAGGAACGTTGTGTTTATTTTTCAGTTATCAGGGTTCTGGTGCTGCAACAGATATGATAATAATGAATGTTTATGACTCATTTCTGTTGTTCTGACAAGTAATGTTTGACACTTTTTCATTATATCTTACACTCCAGCATAAAATGACAAAAAAAAAAGTGAAAGCTAAAATAAAGTTGAACAAATTTGTGCTGGACGTTTGGATTGATCTGGTCTGCTTTTCTCAAGCAAATGGGAAAATTGGAAAATCAAATATTCGCTTTAAGAATTAGTAGATTTATTGGTAAGGAAATGAAACAAGACAAATGATTCACTTCCCAGTTTTCCTGCTGTTTTCAGACAGTTTTCTTGTCGAACAGAATCCAAATTTTATGACTTGCTTGAACGGACAGAAACAGATGTTAGGTGATGTTACATGAGGTCATTTACTGTTTCTACACCAGACTGCCAACTTTCTCTCCTTTTGGTTAAGGAAGTCGTGTTAGATATTCAGTTTATTCAGATTTGATCATGAACATGGGGGTGTACAAGCTTTACAGTGCGAGGGGCAAATTCATCAAGTCAAAAGTCCTCGTGAGCCACAAGTGTGATTTTTTTTAATGTTTTTAAAATGCAATAATGATTTGTTAGTGAACATTTTTATTTTTACTGCTCAGAAATTTCTTAAAGTAGACATAGTAGAAAATCTGAATATAAAAATGTTAAAAAGTGTAGAAATGCCACAAAATTACTCCCAAGGGTTGCAAAAGGACCCCTTTGGACATGCCCGATTTTCTTTTCTCTTCCCTTTAACTGCAGTTACAAAAAAATCTAAAATACCAGTTCTAGTTTTTGGGTGTGTGGATACTGAACACTTAACATACTGACCCAAATACTCAGCATCATATTAAATTCAGGGATCCAGCCTGTAGATTACCATCACTGCCAGCCGCAGAATGTCTGCTTATGATTTAAACAAGCCCACTCAGTTGAGGTTTCCTGCTCTGGAGCAGATGTGACACATTTCCGTCCATGTTTCTACACATCCAGCTGTGACCAGAGGGAATGTTCATCTGTTTCCACCACCAAACCAAAACCTAGTATTATATTGTAAGCCCTGCGTGAGCGCAGGTTTATGTGCTCTGGCTCTGTTTGGCTTTTGGGTCGTTACATAAGTTATTTCTGTGCTTGATCCTCCGCGCAGCCGTCTGTCCAGAACGTGAAAGTTAGATGAGATGTGAGCAGGGATTAGTTTGAGATGAAGACGTTGATGATGTCCCTCAGGTTGGAGTTGTCCTGCTGAGCACAAACATCAGAGACAGCAAATGTGGCAGGCTGCTTTTCTCCAGTGGAGGGGAAGAGAGGAGGACACAAGGGAGGTGCTGAACTGGAGTGAGAATTCCTTGCAAAAATCAGATTCAAATTCAGGTGTAAAAAACAGTTTAGCAAAATTTTATTTAAATTCATGTCAAATATTACAGGTCCTTCTCAAAAAATTAGCATATTGTGATAAATTCCATGTTGTTGTTCTTTTTTAAAACACAGAAATAGTTTTGTTATGACGGTTTTGTTGAACGACAACATGGAATTAGAAATAACGCACAGCAAGAACACACCTAAGATATTGTGATAAAGTTCATTGTCTGTAATGTAATGTACTGATAAACATTAGACTTTCATATATATTAGATTCATTACACACAACTGAAGTAGTTCAAGCCTTTTATTGTTTCTAATATTGATGATTTTGGCGTACAGCTCATGAAAATCGAAAATTCCTAGCTCAAAAAATTTGCATATCATGAAAAGGTTCTCTAAACGAGCTATTAACCTAATCAACTGATTCAGCTAATTAACTCTAAACACCTGCAAAAGATTCCTGAGGCTTTTAAAAACTCCCAGCCTGGTTCATTACTCAAAACCGCAATCATGGGTAAGACTGCCGACCTGACTGCTGTCCAGAAGGCCATCATTGACACCCTCAAGCAAGAGGGTAAGACACAGAAAGAAATTTCTGAACGAATAGGCTGTTCTCAGAGTGGGCACCTGGGCGGGGGGGGGGGGGGGGGGGTGACAATTAAAATTGCACCCACATTTTCAAAGTTAAACACATCTCTTAACAGCGGTAGTTTCTGCATATATACTGCTCCGCTTCAGTCCTCTCCCCCTGCGCAGTGCACCTGCAGCCTCTCACCCCTTCTTTCCACCGGAGCCGTCAGCAGCACGTTACTGCAGCAGCACGTCATAGCTGCTGATAGGAACCGCTGTGGTCAACAGAACCTTTTCCACCGGAGCCGTCAGCAGCGCGAGTCGGCCGCGTCTCAGAAGCAGCATGTCGCGGCCCTTACGCGCCGGTTCTATTTTGTACGTGCTACGCCTCTGAAACGGGTCAAGTTCGACATTTTTGGGGAAGGAAAGACAGGAAATCGGACGCGGAAACGGAGCGAATCTCCCGAGATTTTCAGAATACAGCAACATACTGCCTTCCGGCTGCTTTACTTTAAAAAAAAGTTACTAACTGTGCGGCCCCATGAGAAGTTATCACCTAGCTAGCGGTCTCCTTTGTTTTTCAGGTCCGTATTGGCGATTATAAAACGGACAGAACATAAAACACAAACCTTTTGGAGCCATGTTGTAGTTTTCTCCTGCTTGTTGTTGTGTTTACTGATGAAGTCACTCGTATGACTTCGTGCTCTGTCTGTGACAGCTGCTCCCCTGCTGCTTAAGGTCTCGTGGGAAGGGCCAAGCAGCAGCTTACGCGAGCAAGACGTGCTGCTGCAGTAACGTGCTGCTGAAGGCTCCGGTGGAAAGAAGGGGTCTGAGTTCCTGCAGCTCTAAACATTAAAATAATTATTTCATTTTCTGTTCCTCACTTCTGATTACCTTCAATGGTGTCTGTTTGTTGCAACCACCAGATACAAAAACTAACTTGTTTTTATTTGACAATTTTTCTGTCCTGCCTGTTTATTAGCTTCCTGCATCTCCTCTCAATCCTAAAGAAAAACTGCTACCTGGGTTCAGATATATTCACCTTATGAGTTACCTTTGAACTGCAGTTCTAAAAGATCTACCGACCACAAAAACAGTGGAGTGCGCGCTGCTCGCCGGCCGCATCAGTGAGGTGCGTCACCGGAGGACAAGGTGATGCTCCCCACCCCACAGCAGTGAAACGCATCAGGCACAAATAAAAGACAGAAAACATAAAAGGAAATGAGCCGACATGAACGATTGCGTGTTAAATTAGTTTTTGAGGTGGCGACACCTGATTTGATAACGTTACTGTGGCGGTGCTCAGGACACAGATGTCTGGAGCGCATCAACGATCAGAGCTTTGCATACGCAAGCTGGTTAAGGTTAGGATGGGGGTGAGGGGAAGGTTAAATTGTAAGAGGGTCAAGGTCACAATTTGGTTAAATGTCCGTTTTACCGCGGGTGTCAGTACTGACGCTCTGGCACAGCGCGCCGCCTCCCGATGCGCAGGGGCTCGTCACCTGCTGTCTTTTCCAAGGACTGCATCCTGTCGCTCATTATCACGTGACAGCGACTAGTCTATGACAGGCATAAAAAGTCACAACAGAGCAGTGAAGTCGACTAGTTCATACAACCCCTAGTCTGGGGTGCCATGTCTGCTGCTGGTGTTGGTCCACTGTGTTTTATCAAGGGCAGGGTCAACGCAGCTAGCTATCAGGAGATGTTGGAGCACTTCTTGCTTCCATCTGCTGAAAAGCTTTATGGAGAGGAAGATTTCATTTTTCAGTACGACCTGGCACCTGCTCACAGTGCCAAAACCACTGGTAAATGGTTTACTGACCATGGTATCACTGTGCTCAATTGGCCTGCCAACTCTCCTGACCTGAACCCCGTAGAGAATCTGTGGGATATTGTGAAGAGAAAGTTGAGAGACGCAAGACCCAACACTCTGGATGAGCTTAAGGCCGCTATCGAAGCATCCTGGGCCTCCATAACACCTCAGCAGTGCCACAGGCTGATTGTCTCCATGCCACGCTGCAATGAAGCAGTCATTTCTGCAAAAGGATTCCCAACTAAGTATTGAGTGCATAACTGAACATAATTATTTGAAGGTTGACTTTTTTTTGTATTAAAAACACTTTTCTTTTATTGGTTGGATTAAATATGCAAATTTTTTGAGATAGGAATTTTGGGTTTTCATGAGCTGTATGCCACAATCATCAATGTTAGAAACAATAAAAGACTTGAACTACTAAAGTTGTGTGTAATGAATCTAATACATGTGAAAGTCTAATGTTTATCAGTACATTACAGACAGTAATGAACTTTATCACAATATGCTAATTTTTTGAGAAGGACCTACATAAATGTAACATAGTCTTTAAACAGAAGGTGCTTTTTCAAAAAATTTAACTGGAAAAAGTCAGATTTAGACATTTTGTTACCGACAACAA